TATACGACGTTGCAAAAACCAAGTATTTTAAAAAAAGGTGCTATTCTATATAAATATTTGAGTTTATACTATGTTTATATCTTTTGATTTTCTATGCAATTATAGTTCTCTTGTAGGGTACAATTAGATAATCTTTTTATATTTACTAATCTTTGTGCTTTTATATAATAAGCAAGCATGATAATAATCTGTTGGTAATTTAAAATTTTTTAAAGATTGAATACATTATTTGTAGTATTTTAGAAATCGGTTTTAAAAATTCCCTTGAAAAGAGCTGAACCCTAATATCTCACATTTAATTTAGTATCAATCTATCAATGTAGCCCTATTATTTATTACCAAAGATAGTAATATTGTTAATACCTTGTTTGCTTTTTATGTGCTTTTTTAAAATCTCTTTCAAAACAGGTTGAACATTTTAATTTCTCCATTTTCCTCACATAAATTGCTAGAAATATATTCTGTCAATTCAAGAAATAAACTTGAATTAATATAACTCAAAAATAATATTATTAATAAAAAAATATCTTGTTAAATGGGGTGAGAGTTTCGAAATATCCCATCTACAAAAATAACCTTTTATAGTTTTAAAACATTGTTCCTTTGAATATAATTGACATTATTCAAACTTTTTGATGCAGCCTGCCAAAACTTATAAATTAAAAGATTAAGAAAAAACATTTATTGTGCATTCTGGCATACAATCTTTTATGTTAGATATATGATCACAACTCAAATCTATAAAGCCAAATTATTAAATATTAAATATACAATTAGGATTGAGAATTTGACAAGCTTAACTACTAGAAATAATGTGATAGTTTTAATTAATTACAAATTTATTTAATTACTATTTAGAAATTTATATAACTATAAAAACATTCAAATAACTCAAATGAATTGTAAAATAAACTTATATTTGATTAAATAGTACTATATAATTTAATATTTAACCAAATTTAATTTCTCTCCTTATATGAATTTATATCACAGCCAACCGCTAAATAGATAACTTCACATTATAATGGTTTTGAAATACAATCACCTCCTAAATTTGCCATACAATTTCCAAATTATTTACAATCATCGTTTACAAATGGTGATGATGCAGTATAACATTATTTTAATTAACATTTTTGATTAATCCAAATACAACTTTAATCTTTTATAGAGTAACAATCTTTTTTTCCAACATATTCAGAACAAATAGTAGATCTATACTTACTACCTCTATTTTCAGATATAACTTAATCCAATATTTGATCATAATCTTAACACCTAATATAAGTATTGGTTGTTTTCTAAGTAGTTTAACATGTTTTATTGTAACATTTACCTTAGTAATATTTATATTTATTTCCTAGTTAATCTGTTGTGCATCCTACTTCACTTTTAGCATCATTTCAAGTAGTTCTAATTATACAATGAATTCTATTTGTTGTATAATTATGTTACACTTTTATATATTAATAAGACATTACATTTAAATAAGAACTATATCTCATTATATCATAAATTCTTTTAATTATGATCTAATCAATCTTAAAAACAAAGTCATCACATAATTTCTCCAAACATATCCCTTCTACTTTTTACCAAAAACATATCTTAATATTTAGAGTTGAATAATATTAACTTTCTTACATGTAATCAGTGCATTATTCCATCTGATTAATACAACTCTTATTTATTACATTTACTTTACATCTTTACAGACCTTAATTGCATTATTTATTATCTAATAAATATATTGGTAAATCTTCTCATCTTTAAATATCCTAACAATTTCAATTAATTTTTATTATTTCCATTTACAATATGTATCTTTTTTACTCTTATTATTACATTCAATTTAGTTAATATATAATTTATAAGATCTCTTATTTCAAAGGATATCCTATCATTAAATACACATTAGAAACTTAAACAATGATCTCTATTATATATAAAACAATCTTAAAATTGGCACATTTACTTTAATAGAATCCCCAATCTTAAAATTTTCTACATTCTTCATGCTCATAATTGTTTAAGTATTTGAAATCCTATTATAATACTTAATACTTCAATCCTGATTTTAAAATACAATAATCATTATCTCATCGAAAAATACTCGAATTTTAACATATGTCTTGAGTTTTTATATGACTACAAACGCATATTTTTGAGGGTAAAACACATAATGTTGATTTCAGTAACAACAAAAAAATTGTCAATCTATTGAATTTCTATTAAATTATTATATTAATATAAAATCAAATTAGAAAATTTGGTGTTATAAATATATAAATAATTTTTCATATTTGAAATTTCCAATAAAAATCAAACCAATAACTTTAGCCTAATTGAATAATCAATATAACGAATTTATTCTTAAATATTTATAGATCTTTTTCATATTCCGCATATTTACATTTATAAAAGCTTAATAATTTGTTTATAATACAATTATTTAGAATTTGTTTATGTAAGCTACTTAATAAATTTTTTCAATATCAATGATTTAAAATAATGATTTTGAAATCTTTTTATTAATATAAATTATTAAATATACATTAAAACCCACTTAATTTCTAACATTATTTGTGAATATGAATAATATAATAAATGTATATATCATTATATTAGAAGTGGTTTATATAATTGACTTTTTTAGTCGCATAAACAAATGGAAATATTAGATTCAAAGTTCAGATAGATTGATTGTGTTTCTCAAATTCTAAATTTATGGTGTTTTTACAATTATATTTATATAATCAATTTTGATGGAAATTAAATCTGTAACTTAGAGGATCAAATTCATGTTTTGCAAAAGGAATTCACAAAATAAAATGACATTGTATATATTTAAAATTTTGTTAGTATTTTCTCATAGTATTTATATTACAAAATAAATATTTAATAAGTCTAATAAAATCAAAATAATTTGCCTTAATTATCTCAAGGTTTTAAGTAGTAGCAGTTCTGATATATCATCATCTCTGGTTTGATTAAATGCTTAAAAAAAAAGTCTGAAATATGGCTTAAACAATATAAGCTTCAAATAATAAAATAGCCCAAACAGTATCCCAATTTAAAAATCCTTTGATACTTGATTATCTTTCAATATTCTTAACCAATTATAACGACGAAAAATATAAAAAATATATGTATGACCTAATTAGCTAAAATTATCAATCAAAATAAATAATGATCCTTATTCTATAGATTTTTTAATTAAATTATTTTATTAAATGTCAAGAACGGATAGATGCTAATCTTCAAAAAGGATCTCCATTATCCATTATGATTTATAATCTATCTATCAAACCATAAAATATTAATCTCTTATGAAGTTCATCAAAGTAAAAGTTAAGAGAATAGCCAATCACTCCCTTTTGAATCACAAATTTTAATGGCATTTACTTCCTCAGGTGAAAAACACTTTGGATTATATTGATGCCATAACCTGAATCATAATATTACCCGATAAAAATAACTTGTAAAGTAACCCATATTACCAATAAAGTCGTTACAGGAATCGTTACTATGGCATGTGGCGAAGTATTAATTTGAGTTACTATACGTAGAATTAGCCCCTTCTCTTCAAAATTGTTTTGTTCAAAAAGGTCAGCCAGTGGTTTCATCAATTAAAATGTCTATCTAATACTCTTCAATCATTATTCAATTGGAAATGCTGAGTAGAAAGTATCAGACAAATTCCAAAATATATAATTAAATTCAATGGTTATTACGAATAAGTTGAAACGACAAGTAAGAAACAAAAATTGATCAAGAGAAACTATTCTCAAAAATATTGTGACATCAATGGTAAACTGAAAAGTTAATAAAATAATCCTGCAAATAGATCATATTTAAAATTAACGAAAATTAGAAGTGAAGATATTAAAAAGACTATTCAAAAAGTGATCTAGATATTATTTAAAAATTCAAAAGTAAAAATTTTATAAATTTGACCTTATCATTTAGCAATTTATGAAATTTAAAAAGAATATTATCATAATTATTTTTCGATTGCATCATTTTTTACTGATTCTACAGCTTCTATATTGGTATTATTTTCAATTTCCCTTTTAAATTTAAATCTAATTAAATACTTTTTAAATCAATCTAAATTATAAAAATTTGATATTAGATTACCAAAACAAAATTATCAAAATTTAAAATATTTTAATTTCATATTTAAATTATAATAAAAATAAACTGATTACTTTTTTTGAAAAATATTATTCTATAAATAAACTAAAGTTTTAATTTTTTTAATAAAGATTAAACGTAAAATATTACAATGAAAAACTTTAGTAAATATTTGTTAGATGGGTCAAAGAAAACTAAAATGCTATAAAAGAAAATAAATTTAATTAACTTAAGCTTTTTCATTGAATTAATTGATTATTAATTAGCATTTTATCTAATTAAAATTTTTTTAGATCACTAAGTTAATCTAAATTATAATATGACAGTATTGCATAAAAGTATAAAAAAATATCAAAATTCAAATCAATTTTCATAATTATTTGATTTATTCGCAATTTATTTAATTTAATAAAATCTTTAATTTGTCCATCAATTATCAATCAAAAATTTAGTATAATTAGCAAAATTCGATTATTGAAACTTAACAAAGACAATTAAAAAAAGCGGTATTTTAAATTTACGTCAAATTAAAACCAAAAACGTAATTTTGTAGTTTCTTTTTTCTATTTTTATTTTAATTCATAACTAATATGGTTATTATTAATAGATTTTATTTTTTTGTTCTATTGTCTTTTTTCATCTTATTTTAAATGTTATTTTTTATATAAATAACTTTTAAACGATATTGAAATTGTAAGTTTACTCATTTTAATTTCATTCTTTAAACCAACAGTAATTTCTTCTCAAATTTTTGGTTCAAATTTTATCTTTGGCTTGACTCTTTTATCATTATCTTAAATCTAAATATTTTAAATTGGTTTACAGTCAATTTATTAATTAAGATTAAATGCTATAAAAAATTGTCTTTATAATTCATATTATTATCAACTCTATAATTGGAATAAGTGATATTTAATAATATTATTATTAATAAAGTTTTATTCCTGTTATTAAATTTTTTAACAAAAACAGATATTTTTAGGCATTTGAAAAGTTATGAAATTAATAGTAGCGGAAAAAATTATGAAAAATTTATTTTATGAGAAAAAGAAATCATGACAGACGATCAGGGTATTATTTTTGATGAATCAAAATTAATAATAAATTCTCCTCTATCTAATTTCTAATGCTTTTTTAACTTTAACCTTAATGTCCAAATTTGTTGTTATTTCAACAAAAATTTTGTCAGATTCTGAACTGAATAACCTTAATATATATAATTTTATAAAATAAAATTACAAATGCATAAATATCTTCTGATTAGTATTCACTTTATTTAAAAAGCTGATATACTTTTAGAATATAATTAAGATAAATGTTTATTAAACCTTCTAAAATAGTTGGGTTAACATTTTATTAAGGAAATTATTTGAAAATAATACAACTAAATAAAATTATAAAATTTAACTATTTTAACTTTTAACTTAAATAGACATTATAAGTCCTAAATTTTTCAAATGGTCTCAAAACTGTTAAAGACGATGAAAATAAAATAACAAACTTTAATTAGAAATGTATTTTGATTTATATTAGATTCGGTTAATTACGCATTAATTAATTCTAAATTACTTCTAAAATTTAAAGTTTAACAGCTTTATATAATAGATAGAATCTAAATGATTAGGTATATAAATTATGTATTGATTATATTTTGTGTGTAACAATTTAAGATCATTTAATTAAATTTAATTAATGATCAGACTAATATATTATGGCAATCTACTTAAAACAAAGGTAGATTATTGATTCTTTAATTTATATTATTTTATTTTTAAATACATTTATGTAAAAGGAGAAAAACAGTATATTAATTGAAATTATAACAAAATATTAAATTTAAATCAAACATATTAAATTTAAGATATACAAGTTTCATGGGGTATTTGAAATTATTCTCTAATTATGAAAAACTAAATAAGAATCAAAATACATTTTTAAGTACTATAATAATTTTAAAATTTATTGAATAAAACTTTAATTGTGTTGACTTATTAAGTAATTTTCTTATGAATAAATATGCCTAATTAACAGATAAAACTTAGACAAATAAGAGATTATAAATTATTAAATTAACATTCTATTAATACGCATATGCATAATTGAAGGGGAATACTAATAGAATTTTATTATTATCAAAGTTAAACTTAAAGTTATCATCAATTTATTATTTAAATTCTAGTCTGATTTTAATATGATATACAGTATCAATTTATAAATATATAT